GGGCTGGCGCAGGGCCGTGTGCGTGGGGCACCGCGGGTCGTCCGCGTACCGGTCGCTGTTCATGTGCAGAGGCGGGAAGCGCGCCCTTCCTTTTTTTCCAAAATTCTGTTTTGCCTGAAGGACGGACGTAATGCCCTTCCCGCAGCATAGCGCGATTAAATGAAGGCTCCCCTACTGTAAAAGAGCTGTTGAGGCTGGCAGGCGGCCCGACGGCCCCGTTGTGGCAGGGGGGGGCGGGCTATCGGTTCCTACCGGTCTCCCCAGAGTTGCCCGTGGGAGCTCGTTCTTAGAGAGATGCTGGTTAACCCGGGCCAAGCTGAAAGGATTGCTAGTGTCCTGATGGCCATCGTGCTGTGTCAGGTATTGCAAAGGCCAGTGGCGGGTCCCACCGCCAGCACTACTGTGCGTGCTGGGGTTGCCCTGGATGGATTTGTGTTCCTGAACAGGATGAGTTTTCTTCAAAGAAAATGCTAATGCAGATGTCCAAGGTAACTATCTAGAAGAAACCATTGGGCTGTACATGGGTGGACTGTTACAAAGAAACCATTTTACATGCTATTAGCAGAGACCAGCTTAACTCTGCATGTTGCCCAGGAGGCTAAATGAGCACCGTGATTGGAGAAGTATGGAAAACTTGAATGATAGGGTTATTTATCTGAAAGCTGCTCTGACAATACCTTGGCATGGGAAGAGAAGCTCCATATTTGTGTATCTAGTGCACTAATTCACAAAACTCAAGCTAGTTAAATAGTAACATAGTCAAAGGTAATATTTTTTGCTTTTATTTTTGGCCTGCTTTTTTACTTACGCTACTTTACCTAGTGATAAGTAAATCTTGCTTAAAATGGAAGTAGTTAATTCAGTATTAGCAAATTGTGTTTAGAAACTGACTTGGTCATCTTAGTAATAGGAAATTCTTGATAGCTATTGAAAAAAAATCCTGTAATTTTTTTATAAAGTGGATGTTTTAATTTGTATTTAAGTCCTTCTATTTGTGATGAGTAAGCAACAGCAGTGTCTGGTCACTTAAATCAGTCACTTAAATCTCTGTTTAGTTCTAGCTGGATGTAGCAGCTCAGTAGGCATGAAGGATCCCTGCGTATCTCTAGAATGAGTAGCACCGCTGTGGCCATTGACCGTCTGGGGACCCCCAAGACTTTGGGGCTAGTATCACATCCCTTTATAAATGGATTTGTTAGAAGCATATAATGATTGCAACTACACCAATCATCAAAGTGTAGTTTGTATATGCTTGTAAGTTTGATGTGACTGATTAAGCCCACTTGCAACATGGGAGGCGGGGGGAAAGGGAGAAAAGGGGTGGTTTTCCTGGACAAGAGTGTACTATTACAGTTTATTATGCATTTGTTTAGGGAGTTTCCTTTTTGGAAAAAGACAAATGCTACAAGAGAGTGCTATAGTGGCTCGATCTGAAGATGGAGTTGCATATGAGAGGTGTACTTTTCCTCTTGGTCATAGTTGTTCAGAGCTTCTTTTTTCTTTTTAGTTTAAACTCATATCCCAGGCATATGAAGTTCTGTCGGACCCAAAGAAAAGGGACCTCTATGACCAGGGTGGGGAGCAGGCTATTAAAGAAGGAGGCCTGAGTGGCGGCAGCTTCTCTTCACCCATGGACATCTTTGACATGTTCTTTGGTGGTGGAGGCCGAATGAATAGAGAGAGAAGAGGTACACAGTTCTAAACAAGTTCTAGAAACTCTAACCATGCACTTAAGCATAAAACACCTGTGCTATGGTACTGCTGTTCTGCTAAGTGCACATAGTGTGGATATAACTCGTTGCAACAATAGATCAAGTAAACTATTTTTTTAGTTACTCTAGCATTAAGATTCTAATAAAGTAGATAATGTGAAGTAGCCATAGCAATCTTTCTGATGAGTCTGTTTACTTTTTGTTAAAGTGGGTGTGGGTAATCCATAGGGGAGGGGGAAATGCTGGTAGGTTAGAGCAGTTGAATTAGACCTGTTTTAAGTTACCTTTTTTTCCAGATTTGTGCCTCACTTGCTCATATGCTTTGGGCAACTTGCTTCAAAGGACACCATCAACTTAAACTTAAGTAATGTTAAATCTCATTATTTGGGAGCAATTACATGAAACTGAGTACAGAGTGCTGCCAGAAGCACGGTATTATTTTTGTCTTTTTCCATGCCCAAGTTCTGTTGAAGGAGCAAGTAATAACTTGCTGTAAAAATCTGAAATTATGCTGTGAAGTGGCGTGGAAACTTATAGGTAGGCAACTCTAAACTTACTAGATCTGAAGCTGGTAGTGTCCTTGCATCTTGCTGTTCAGTTAAGCTTATAAAATTAGGGGTAGGAGCAGGGATAGGGTGGCTTTAGTGATGCTTTGCTTAATTACAGCTAAACTTTATGTTCTGACATAAGTGGGTGCAGCTCAGTGGAAGCTGATGGAACTGCACATGCTTTTAAGGGGGCTGAGCTGTGTTCAAAGTTCGGAATGAACTTTACGTTTCTTCAGTGAGATTGTGCATGTATGAGTAAGGGTAGAAGCCTTTAAATAAAAATTTGTCCTTACAACAGCTGAACCAGAATTAATCTTTCTTTTTTTTTTTTTAAGGCAAAAATGTTGTGCACCAGTTAGGTGTATCTCTTGAAGACTTGTATAATGGTATTACAAGGAAACTGGCACTGCAAAAGAATGTTATTTGTGGAAAGTGTGAAGGTAAAGGAACAAGTAGTGGTTTCAAACTCCACTTACTCCAAGCTTCTTTTATTTTCTTTAAGAATATTGGGGGGGTGGGGCTAGGAATAAAAGGGGGGTGTATTTTTATTTTTCTCTCTCCTCCCCCCCCCAGTCTGCCAGGGTATTTAGTTCTTATTTATGCTTATCCAAGAACAAGGTTTTCTTAAACATAGTGCTATGAAGTTATTGTTCTAATGGCAGACTTAAACTCACAGCACATTATAGTTAAGGGTACCTAAATTAAAAGTATCTTAATCCAGAACTTATAATAAATGGCTGTTTTGTTAAACTTTTTTTAAATTGCTGTGGGTAAAAGTCTAGCTTGTATTATGCAACACATTTTACAGCTATTAAGTATCCATAATGACTGGTCATCTTTGAGGTAGATCTTAATGAGGACTTATATCTTAGTATTCTATTCAATATTTAGCAAGCAGATTCTTTCCAAACTATTAATGGAATGTCTAGGTCTTGAAGTTGGTATGCTGGTAGTTCCTAGAACACAAAGATGTACTGGGAGGTCAGGCAGAGGCTAATAAAATAAGCTGTGCATAGAAAACTTGCTTTTGCTTGTAGAAACTTGTAAGTTGTGGGCCATGTTTTTGTGATGGAAACTAAATTCCCACTACATTGGAAATACATTACTGAACTACTCCTAAGTTGCCCTAAAGGCGCTCTTGAAGTCAATGAGTTCCAGCCTGACTACTGTAGAGTAACTTTTTTCTTTTGAGACTGAGATCAGATTTAACTTCTTTGTCAAAGGTTATGGCGGAAAGAGAGGGGCAGTAGAAAAGTGCCCTGTGTGTAAAGGAAGAGGAATGCAAGTTCTAGTTCAGCAGATTGGACCTGGCATGGTACAACAAATCCAAACTGTGTGTCCAGAATGCAAAGGCCAAGGTGAAAGAATAAATCCGAAGGACAGGTGTGACAATTGCAATGGCTGTAAGGTTGTAAGAGAGAAAAAGATCATAGAAGTTCATGTTGATAAAGGTAAGAACTGTATATTTGTTCTGTGTCCCTAATCATAGTCTATAGCTGAGCAGAGATTAAATGGGTTTTTCTTCTCCAGGTATGAAAGATGGTCAGAAGATAGTATTTCATGGAGAAGGTGACCAGGAGCCTGATCTGGAGCCTGGTGATGTTATAATTGTGCTTGATCAAAAGGATCACAGTGTCTTTCAGAGGCGAGGGCATGACTTAATCACAAAAATGAGAATTCAACTCTCAGAGGCTTTATGTGGTTTCAGAAAGACCATTGAAACTCTGGATAACAGAGTTCTTGTTATATCGTCTAGGCCAGGTAGGTCTTAAGAGTTCTAATGCTATATAAACTGCTTGCCAGTGTTGTTGTGCCTGGGC